AATCCAAGATGGCGGCATAGGTAACACCTAACTGCAGCCTCACACGACAATTTCAAAAAAATACAATTAAAATATAAAATGGACATTACCCAGAACTACAGGAAAGTTGACTGATGGAAAATTCTACAACTAGAAGGAAAGAGAAAACTAGAAGGAAAATCAGAGGAGCTGTAAAAGCCTAAGGTATGGAGACACGCTGCGCACACTGAAAGGACAGAGCTGGAGAGGAGGGGGCGGCTGAGTGCCTGGCTGGCGTTCCCTAGCGGGAAGGAGATAAAAGCTCTGGACTGTGTTGAGCCCCAGTTCTGACAGCACTGAACCCCAGTTCTGGGCGAGACCCTGGGGACTCAGGCTCATTCAGAGGGAGCCTGGGCTGTTAGGAGAAATCTTAGGAAAGTGGCGAAAGGCAGTGCCACGAAGGCATGCACAATACCCGCAGAGGACGGACCATTGACTCTGCTGCTAGATTCCCTAGTGGGAAGGAGACAAAAGCTCCGGACTGTGCTGAGCCCCAGTTCCGACTGCACTGAACCCCAGTTCTAGGACAGACCCTGAGGACCCAGGCTCATACAGAGGGAACCTGGGCTGTAAGGCAGAAACCCTGGGGAGTGGTGAAAGAAGTCCTGGAGGCACGCACATTGCACACAAAGAACGGGCGGTTGACTCTGCCCCTGGATTGCCCTCGCGGGAGGGAGACAGGGGCTCCAGACTGCTCTGAACTCCACTTCCAACTCCACTGCAACTGAACTGAACCCCAGTTCCAGGCTCATTGGGGGAGAGCCTAGACTGTTTGGTAGCAGGCGAAACTCGAGGGCACCTTTCTCTCAGAGGTGCTTGCAACGAGTACTGAAAGACCCTGAGGAATACTGAGATTCAGGAGCTTCATAGGGCATGGCTGACAAAAGCCAAGGCTGTAGGCTCCACCCTGAAACTCTGCCCCATCCAAGCTGAACACAGAGACTTTTAAAACTACCAACTCAGGGAAGCTGTGAAAATGCTGAGACAAGGAAACAGATCACAAAGGAAAGAAATGGAGAACAAAAAGCAACTGGATATAGAGTTCAAAACCACACTTATAAGGTTTTTCAAAAATTTCCTAGAAAAGGTCGATAAGACCTATGAGGATATGAAAATGGATCAACTAGAAATAATAAGGGATCAACAAGAAATAAAGAATACATTGTATGAAATAAAAAATATTATACAGAGTCCTAAAAACAGAAAGGAAGATCGCAAGAATCAAGTCAAAGATTTGGAACATAAAAACCCAGAAGATACTCTTCTGCAGAAGCAAGAAGACAAGAGAATCCAGAAAATTGAAGATAATGTAAGAAACCTCTGGGACAATTTCAAGCAAACCAACATCAGAATTATGGGGGTCCCAGAAGAAGAGAGAGATCAAGATACCAAAAACATATAGAAAGAAATAGTGACAGAAAACTTCCCCCACCTGGTGAAAGAATTAGACCTACAAGTTCAGGAAGTGCACAGAACCCCAAACAAAAGGAATCCAAAGAGGACCACATCAAGACACATCATAATTAAAATTCCAAGGGCAAAAGACAAAGAGAGAATATTAAAAGCAACAAGAGAAAAACAGGTAGTTATCTATAAAGGAGCACCCATATGATTGTCAGCTGATTTCTCAACAGAAACCATGCAGGCCAGATGCCCAGGTTGCGGGCTCGATCCCCAGTTTGCGGCATGCAGGAGGCAGCCAATCACTGTGTCTCTCTCATTATTAATGTTTATAACTCTCCCTCTCTCTTCCTTTCTGAAATCAATATATATATATTTAAAAGCCATTCCCTTTAAAACACTTCCGTGTTTCCCCGAAAATAAGACATCCTCTGAAAATAAGACCTAGCGCAACTTTGGAAGAAAAAATTAATATAAGACACTGCTTATTTTTGGGGAAACAGGGTATTAGAAACTCAAAATCACAGGTGTATTCTGCCTTCACAGAAATCAAGTTCACAGACTATTCATGAACACTATCTATACCTACAATGAACACTAAAGAATATTTGTAGTAAGGATAACTAACATGATGTTTTACATTTGAGATTATATAGGTGAAGTAATTTCTTTAGTATGTTTCCAATATTCAAAACCTAGTAACACTAATAATGCTTTTTTTAAATTCATAGCTTAAAGAAATCTTTGCATAGGGCTTCCTGCTCTGTACTCAGAGTTTTCTGATTACACTAAAATAATTTAGTTTTTCTGCTAATATAAAGAAAATAGAAACCAGAGGAGATCCAAGATGGCTGCGCCCAGGTAAACACCTAGCCGCAGCTGCACACAACAATTTCAATAAAATACAACTAAAATATAAAACAGACATTACCCAGAGCTACAGGAAAGTTGACTGACTGGAAATCCTACAGCAAAAAGCAAGGAGAAAACCAGAAGGAAGCGCGGAGGAGCTGGAAAAGCCTAAGGTACGGAGACGCGGCACGCAGAGAGGACTGAGCCAGAAAGGAGTGGGAGGCAGAGTGCCTGGCGGGCGTTCCCTAGCGGAAAGGAGATAAAACTCCGACTGTGCTGGGCCCCCGACTGCTCTGAACCCCAGTTCTAGGCCAGACCCCAGGGACTCAGGCTCAGCCATAGGGAGCCGGGCAGTGGGGCGGAACCCCGGGGAAGCAGCGAAAGGAGGTCCGGGAGGCGCACACACTGCGCACAAAGAAGGGGCGCAGAGAAGGAACAGTTGGCTGTGCCGCGGGAGTGCCCTGGCCGGAAGGAGACTGGGGCTCCGGACTGCTCTGAACGCCACCTCCAACTCCACTTCCAACTGAACTGAACCCCAATACCGGGCTCATTGGGGGAGAGCATAGACTGTTTGGCAGCAGGCGAAAATCGAGGGCACCTTTCTCTCAGAGGCGCCGGCAGCGAGCACTGAAGGACCCGAATAGGGCGGGGCTGATGGAAGCCAAAGCTGCAGGCTCCACCCTGAAACCCCGTCCCATCTGTAACTGAAATGCGACAACAAAATAGATCACAAACGAAAGAAATGGAGGACAAAAAGCGTCTGGATATAGAGTTCAAATCTACGCTTATAAGGTTTTTCAAGAATTTCCTAGAAAAGATGGATAAGACCTATGAGGATATGAAAAGAGATCAACTAGAATTAATAAGGAGTCATCAAGAAATGATAAGGGATCAACAAAAAATAAAGAATACATTATCTGAAATAAAAAATATTTTACAGAGTCCTAAAAACAGAAGGGAAGATAGCAAGAATCAAGTAAAAGATTTGGAACATAAAGAGCCAGAAGACACTCCTCCTCAGAAGCTAGAAGGCAAGAGAATCCAGAAAATTGAAGATAATGTAAGAAACCTCTGGGACAATTTCAAGCAAAACAACATCAGAATTATGGGGGTCCCAGAAGATGAGAGAGAGCAAGATATCAAAAACATACTGAAAGAAATAGTGACAGAAAACTTCCCCCACTTGAAAGAATTAGACTTACAAGTCCAGGAAGCGCACAGAACTCCAAACAAAAGGAATCCAAAGAGGACCACACCAAGACACATCATAATTAAAATTCCAAGAGCAAAAGACAAAGAGAGAATATTAAAAGCAGCAAGAGCAAAGAAAGTAGTTACCTATAAAGGAGCACCTATACGATTGTCAGCTTACTTCTCAACAGAAACCATGCAGGCCAGAAGGGAATGGCAAGAAATATTCAAGGTGATGAATAGTAAGAACCTAAGCCAAAGATAATCTATCCAGCAAAGCTATCACTCAGAATCGAAGGTCAGATAAAGAGCTTCACTAATAAAAAAAACTAAAGGAGTTCATCAACACCAAACCAGAATTATATGAATTGCTGAAGGGGGTTCTTTCAGAAGAGAAAGTAAACAAAGATAAAAATTATGAACCACAAATACGTAACTATCAACAAGTGAATCTAAATACCAAGGAAATTAAAAAAAAAATCTGATGAACAATAGTAACTGTTAAATATAATAGAATCAGAGGTATGGAAGGGGAGTGAACTGACGATTCTTGGGGAAAAGGGGAGAGGGGGGCGTGGGAAGAGACTGAACATAAACTGTGCACCTATGGATGAGGACAATGGGGAGTGGGGAAAGGGTAGAGGGTGGGTGGGAACCTGGTGGAGGAGAGCAATGGTGGGGGGGGGGGGGCATTTGTAATAATATGAACAATAAAAACTTATTAAAAAAAAGAAAATAGAAACCAAACGGCCCCTCTACCAGATAATAAATAATATTGGCCTGCTCTGTAGCAGCCAACATTTGTCTTTGTTTTCCGGGGTGTTTTTCAAAGGACAATAAACTCCGAGTGAATAACTAAAGTCATTCTAACAAATGCTCAAAACAAGCTCTGAAACCCAATACTAAAATAAGGAAAACAAAGTTTCACAATTATAACTTTACATTCAATTATGAATACACGTCTCAAAAATTATTACTGGGTCACCCCGAATTCACTTGGCTACTTCGTAATGGCAATTCTGGGAAGTTTAATCCTTAGGGTCCTATCCTAAATTTAATCACAGCAGAGAAAACATGAATCTCCCCCCCCCCCCCCCCCCATTAGCAGGAGGCAGTGATGCTGAATGCTTCCAGGCTTTGACACATTCAGTTCCTAATCCGGGGGATTAAAAAGAACTGTCTGCCTCTGGATGGTTAGTACCTCCAAACCCAATGAGACGGACGAAATGAGGCTAGAAAAGAGACATATTTTAATGAAAAACCCCCCTTTTCCATCCAGGTCACCCCGAGAGAACCATGGGATAAATGCTGCAAAGAATTCAGCCCTGCTTCAAGCAAACCACTTCCCCGGGCTGGCCCATGTCTCCCGCCCACCTCGAGTCGCTTGCGCGGCTCCCCACTAGTCCAGGGGCTGCAGCGAAAAACCAAGGCCGTCCGACGGTCTGTCTCGCTGTTAGGCTCCGTCGGTCCCCTAGGGCCCTGCCCCATCCAGTATTGCCTGGCGGCCCGCAGGGACACAAAACATAATCTGTGCTCACCGTTGGGTGTCTCTTCTCAGCCATCTCTGCCGCCCCGGCTGCTGCACGGCCGGAAATAGAGGTTTCCCAGGCAACCAGCCAAACGGAAGTTGTGGGCTGGAGAAGAGGGTGGGGCCTGAGCCGAGAAGGAAGGAGGTAAAAGGCAGGACGGGAGGGAAATTGGGAGGGGAATTGCCCATTGCCCACACCACTGAGAGTTTCAGGAAGCTGGAGAAGGGTTGGTTGTTGCCCCACATATAGTTTGGCACAAAAGGAGCTAATAAGTGAATGCAAATTCGTGCAGGGGCCTCTAGTAGTAAATATAATTAATCCAACAACAAAGTTGTTTACAGTGGGTCACCGGAATGGGACTGATTCAAATCCTGCGGCAATATGATTTCTAGCTTTAAACTTCTTTGGCACTCCTGGAACCCAATGGGATTTGTGTATATATGGGGATCAAAGGAGCCCCCTGGACACTCTCTCCTTTTCCTAGTCTGTCTGTCTATTGAAAAAGGTTTACGATATGCCAAAGTGAAGGGGATAACCAATTATATCAAATTACAAGTTCCACTCCCATTTGCTCAGCAAGACCACAAGTAAGGGTCCCTCATAACACCACCAGGCATCAGCATGGGAATAGACAGTGCAGCATGATTGGCTTCCCGATAAATTTCTCATGAACTCTGAGCACTGTCTCTCCCTTCCCTCCCCACCCCCCGCCTCCACCTTGAGAGGCAGGAGGTATAGTTTACGTGGAAAACAGGGCTGAATCGTTGTTTGTTGTTGTTGTTATTGTTGGGTTGTGTGTGTGTGTGTGTGTGTGTGTGTGTGTGTGTTTGTTTTTTTGTTTTTTTTGGGGGGGGGAGGGGGGGAGGATCCTTGCTCTTTGACTCTGTTGGATTGGAACAACAGGGAGAGAGTCTTACAGAAATCATTTCCCCAGGCAGTTTCCTCCTGATACAGGGCAAGCACACATTCCATCCTGTTACTGACTGAGGTCCATGCAAATGGGAATGGGACCACTTGGGCTTCTAGCTTTCCTGCTGCACAAGCATAACAGTCATTTTTTATTTAGGGCAAGTACAGAATATTTCATCCATTCCACCCAGGCATTTGTTCCCTTATATCCTACTTCTATTTGCATGGTAGTGGCAGTGGCCTAAGGCAGTGGTCGGCAAATTGCTGCTCTTTGGCCCCTTGAGTGTGGCTCTTCCACAAAATACCACGTGCGGGTATGCACGTACAGTGTGATTGAAACTTTATGGCCCATGCACAGAAGTTGGTTTTTGGCACTCAAAGAAATTCCAATCGTTGCACTGTTGATATTTGGCTCTGTTTAATAATAAGTTTACCAACCACTGGCTTAGGGGCTCTTGTCCTGTGACATCTATTCCTAAATCTAGCCCTAGCCAATCTTTTGACCTAAAGGCAAAATATCCAAATCATTTAAATTAACTGGGTAGGCATGATCCAGATTGTACACATTTTCCCAGCCCACATCGTAAGCCCCTGCAATTTGCCAGACCTCTACAGCAAATAGAACTCAGTACATGATGGCTATTAAGACATCTCACAGTTCTTAGCATTAATTCCAAGGGGATATGTCCTTGTATTGTTGTTCAAGTTGAAGTGTGTCTGCCCTTAAGCCATGTGTTGGGTCTAATCTTACTCGGCAGTCCAAACAGCAATCTCTGTGGCAAGCAAGACAGTTAGGGTCCTTTCCAGGAGGGTTCTAACTTGCTTCCCTTCCAAATCTTGATTAGAACAAACAAAGTCTTCTGATCATTGGTGATGAACTGGAAAATCAAGAGGGCTTTGAGTCAGGAGGCCTTCTAACCTGAGAGGGATTAAAGTAGAAGAGATATCCAGTATCTTAAGTAGTTTGGTCCCTAGTTTCCATTCTAGGAAGATCTTGAGGCATTCCAGGAACTACTGGAATCACCTACAGCTAACTCTAGGGGGAAAAAAATTTTTTTTTTTTTTTAATTTAAACCCTAGGAAGGTTGTCAAACCCATCCTACCAAAAGACTATATAGCATTCAAAGTGACATATAATGGCAGGACTATAATGGTAAATTCAGAGGGTATTAAACACAAACATAAGCTAATAAAACTTTAGGTCTCACAACTAAGATTATCTTTTTTAAAAATTAAAAATACCTGATTAATATCCTATATAATAGAAGCCTAATATGCTAAGTGTTCAGTCATCTGGTTGGCCATTCAACCAATCAAAGCATAATATGCTAATTATATGCTAAGACCACTCAACTGGTCACTATGACGTGCACTGACCACTATGGGGCAGACAATTGACCAAGTCAATCAGTAGCTATGATCTGCATTGACCATCAGGAGGCAGACTCTCTGACCAGTAGGTTAGGTTGCTGGTGGGGTCTGGCCTAACAGGACTGAGTGAGACAGGCTGGATATGCCCTGGATACCTCCTTCAGCCCCTCCCAGCTGGCCAACCTCCCATATCCCTCCCTGGCCCTGATCATGAACTGGTGGGGTCCCTCTGCCTCCATCGTCTTACAATCTGGGACCCTTTTGGGGGATGTCAGAGAGCTGGTTTTGGCCCAATCCCACAGGCCAGCTGAGGGACTCTACTGGTGCATGAATTTGTAAACCAGGCCTCGAAGTAACATACCTATAATAATTTATAGAGCTTTTGCTTCAGAAAAGGACTAACCAAAATAAGGTTTATTTTCTAACTCTATTTGTCCTTAGTACAGAGAACAAATGATACTTGTAGAGGGCCGCCTGGGAAGGCACATGGGCATTTTCCTTAATTATCGTCAGTTGAACTCAAGGCATAGGCAGAGCCACACCTTGGGAACATGTTTCCCCCAAGATGGTGGACATGTTGTCAGCTTGGTCTTTATATCAGCCCAGATGTCAGCAGGGGCGGGACTAGATATGTAAATCCAGGCATGCTAGGGCCTAGTTAAGAATGCAAATAAGTTGGTGTTACTTCCTGGTATTGGGGGTATAAAATAAATGCACTGGGAAGGGTCGTCTTCGTCTTCTTCATGCCTCTCCAGCAGATAGGATGGCAGCCCACCAGTTCCAGCTAAAATCTATCTCTGTGTCTTCTCTCTTTATTTCTATTATTTCTCAATCCCTGGCCACCTCCACTTAGAACCGGTTCGTTCATCTCTCTTTCCATGCAAGATGCAGAAAAGGGAGATCCCCGCCGCATCAGGCCCCCACAATAATAATTGAATTTCTTTTTTTTTTTTTTTTAAAGATTCAATCAATATCAGTTTGTGCGCATACAGGCCTTTTTTTAAAAATATATTTTATTGATATTTTACAGAGAAAAAGAGAGAAGGATAGAGAGTTAGAAACATTGATGAGAGAGAATCATTGATTAGCTGCCTCTTGCACACCCTCTACCAGAGATGTGCCCACAACCAAGGTACATGCCCTTGACCGGAATCAAACCCGGGATCTTTCAGTCTGCAGGCCAATGCTCTATCCACTGAGCCAAATCGGTCTCGGTTAATAATTGAATTTCTGTTATCAGTCTCTGTGAGTACATTGATATAAACTATTTACTCTGTGCTTAGGGAGGCAAAATGCAAATCATTTACTCTTAAGTGTCCTTGATTTAGAGAATATAGAATTAATTAGATGCTCCAAATTACTGTTTATTTCAATTTTCCTATTCTATTTATTCTGGCTTACTGGCCTTTGCAACATCTTCAACTTCTTTTCAATATTTTTAAAAAACATTTTATAACTTTCATAAATCTTTTGTATTTTTTTCATTTTTTACAATAAATCTTTATTGTTCAGATTATTACAGGTGTTCCTCTTTTTTTCCCCCCATAGCTCCCCTCCACCTGATTCCCCACCCCAGCCCATCCCCTTACCCCCACCACTGTCTACATCCATAGGTGTAAGATTTTTGTCCAATCTCTTCCTGCACCCCTCAAACCCCTTTCCCCGCTGTGAATTGTTAGTCCAATCCCTTTCTATGTCCCTGATTCTATTATATTCACCAGTCCATTTTGTTCTTCAGATTTTTTATTCACTTGATTTTTAGATTCATTTGTTGGTAGGTATATATTTGATGTCTTTTTGTTTTTCATACTTTTTACCTTTACCTTTTTCTTCTTCTTCATCTTCTTAAAGAATACCCTTCAGCATTTCAAATAATCCTGGTTTGGTGGTAATGAAAGCCTTTAACTTTTCTTGTCTGTGAAGCTCTTTATCTGACTTTCAATTCTAAATAATAGTTTTGCTGGGTAGAGTAATTTTGGTTGTAAGTTCTTGCTATTCATCACTTTGAATATTTCTTGCCACTCCCTTCTGGCCTGCATAGTTTCTGTTAAGAAATCAGCTGAGCCAAAGCCGGTTTGGATCAGTGGTAGAGCGTCAGTCTGCAGACTGAAAGGTTCCAGGTTTGATTCCGGTCAGGGCCATGTACGTTGGTTGCGGGCACATCCCCGGTAGGGGGTGTGCAAGAGGCAGCTGGTCGATGTTTCTCTCTCATCGACATTTCTAGCTCTCTATCCCTCTTTCCTCCTCTCTGTAAAAAATCAATAAAATATATATTTTTTTTAAATCAGCTGACAGTCATATGGGTACTCCCTTCTAGGTAATTAACTGTTTTTCTCTTGTTACTTTTAAGATTCTCTCTTTGTCTTTGCCCTTGGCATTTTAGTTATGATGTGTCTTGGTGTGGTCCTCTTTTGATTCCTCTTGTTTGGGGTTCTGTGCATTTTCTGGACTTGTAGGTCTATTTCTTTCACCAGGTAGGGAAAGTTTTCTGTCATTTTTTTTCAATATCCTGCTCTCTCTCTTCTTCTGGCACCCCAAAAATCCAGATGTTGGTATGCTTAAAGCTTTCCCAAAGGCTCCTTACACTATCCTCACACTTTTGGATTCTTCTTTCTTTCTGCCTCTCTGGTTGGGTGTTTTTTGTTTCCTCATATTCCAGATCTTTGGTTTGATTCTTGGGGTAGGTTGATCTACAGTTGAGTTTCTGTATATTCTTTATTTCAGACAGTGTATACTTAATTTCTGACTGGTCT